AAATTAAATAAAATAAATAAATAAATAAATAAATAAATAAAAAGAATATTTTCCAATAGACACAAGCTGATTCCTCCCTTTCCTTAAGTCTCTTGTTAAAGAACCTGTTTGCCATTCAGCCGTAAAAGAAAAGAAAAAAACAGTGGAAGGTATAAAACTAGAATAGATAGCAGGTCTGGGGCCTAACAATGTTATGTAGCATATAAGCCATTTTTCCCCCTTTTGTAAGCAAACAAACTCTTCCTCAGCATCTTCTAAAAATCCCTCAAGTCTTCTTTGGACTAATATAACCCGAAATTAAGTATTGTGAGTGTTTTTTTCAGCAAGAGTCCTTCAAGGCTATAAGCAGAGTGTCTCTTGTTTAGAACAGGGGTCGGCAACCTTGGCTCTTTTATGACTCATGGACTTCAACTCCCAGAATTCCTGAGCCAGCCACGCTGAGGGGAAAGGGAGAGGTTTCCAAGCTGAGCCATGCTGGCTGAGGAATTCTGGGAGTTGAAGTCCACCAGTCATAAAAGAGCCAAGGTTGCCTACCCCTGGTTTAGAAGGAAAAAAACCCCACATAATTGCAGCCATTTCTGCCATGGCCCCAGCATGCCACAGCTTCTAGAAACCACGAATTTGGTGTGATCAGTTTAGTGACTTTCAGTTTAATTTAGAAAAATGTCTCCAGTGGTTTGAGACGTCATCTTCCAAATTCTAATTAAAAAAAATAACCGTGTTTTATTTTCACTGTAAATCTACTACCATACAGTGGATGAAAAGAAGAATCCCATTTGAAAATGCACAGATGGTTTAATTTTCCTCCATTATACAGGCCTGGTCCATAATCACAATCCCATCATCGACCCAGCTCCCCCCCCCAAGACTGGAAAATGTCAACCTTATCTCATTTAACTTCTGAAATGGATTTTTGCTACTATTGGTTACCTTCCTTTTCCAAGGATTTTCGTTGCTATGATCATGTGGCTACGATATTATTGATCTCAAAGCCAATAAACAGATCTCTTCACAGTATAAATATGGATGACAAGGGGGAAAAAAGGACACAAAATCCCTCTGGAGAGAAACTTTTTGCCTGTTAGCAATTATTAGCAACAGCTATTTGAGGATTTTTTTTAAAGAATCCTGATGCTGATGCACCTTCTTAATTTTTCAGACCATCAGTTAGGGCTCACTGCTAGAGGAGGGTTGTTGCAAAAAAAGATTATTGGGTGGGTGAATTGTCGTAAAAGCCTCTCTGTCTGTCTGTCTATTTTTTAAAAAAAAAAATGGTTTCGGTTGAGGCTTGGCAGTACTCAGAGGTCTGGGTTCAAGAGTTCCTTGAGTCTCCATCTACACTTTGGGCTGACTCCTATCTGTTGGGGAAGAGGGTCAATTGGGGGAAAACTATTGTAGGATTGCTTGCCTCTGGGGATCACTAAATGAAATCCAATTTCCACTTTTGGAGAAGCTCCCTGTAAGAGCGGAATCCAGAGAGGCCTCAACTAGCAGGTCTCAGACCAGAGAGACAATTACATAAATAAATCTGTGTCTTCAAGGCCGCCAAGCAAACCACACTAGTGAAGAGAAGGATCAGGGGAGACTTGATAGCAGACTTCCAATGTTTGAGGGGCTGACCCAGAGAGGAGGGGGTCAACCTATTTTCCAAAGCACCTGAAGGGCAGACAAGGAATAATGGATGGAAACTGATCAAGGAGAGATTCAACCTAGGAATAAAGAGAAATTCCTTGACATTTGGAACAATTAACCAGTAGAACAATTTGCCTTCAGGAATTGTGGAAGCTTCATCACTGGAGGCTTTTAATAAGAAATTGGATAAATGTTTCTCTGAAATGGTATTGGGTCTCCTGCCTAAGCAGTGGGTTGGGCTAGAAGACCTCCAAGGTCCCTTCCAGCTCTAACTCAGTTCTGGGAGTTGAAGTCCACACATCTTAAAGTTACCAAGTCTGAAAAAATATTATGCTCAGATCAGTCTTTCTCAACCTTGGCAACTTTCAGATGTCTGGACTTGGCTGGCTGGAGAATCAAGTCCAGACATTTAATGAAGGAGAGAAGCAACCTGGAACTAAGGAGAAACTTCCTGGCAGTGAGAACAAGGAATCAGTGGAACCACCTGCCTCCAGAAGCTGTGGGTGCTCCCATACAGGAGGTCTTTAAGAAGAGTCTGGACAGCCCATCTTTTGTTCTTATTTCTATAGGTGCCAATCCCAGCAAATGACTTTGGGAGGTTCACAATTCAAAACATATTTTTCAATTAAAATTCTAAAAACATTTTAAACAGTAGAAATAGTAAAAAGCATTAAAACAGGAAAAAAACAGTAATATTTGCACTTTAGAGTGCAAAGCTTTAGAATAGAATAGAATAGAATAGAATAGAATAGAATAGAATAGAATAGAATAGAATAGAATAGAATAGTTCATATTTACGACGGTCGCAGCATCCCAGGGTCAAGTGATCAACTTTTGCCACCTTCTGACAAGCAAAGTTAAGAGGAGAGAAATAAACACCAAATCATCACCATTTTCGCATGAGCATTAATAAATGGTTCTCAAGGTGGGAGAACTCAATGTGACTGTTGCACAAATAAAGATGGACCCCCAATTCACATATCCCCCCCCCCACACACACAAAGAGTTAGTCACAACTGCAGTTGACTTTGAATCTCCTGCTTGTGCGGAAAAGCAGGACGGAGAAGAACATGTTTCTTGGAAGGAGCAAGATAGACCGAGAAGCTAGATAGAAATCAAACATTTATCTCTTTGGACATTAAAACGGTTGCAACCACAGAAAGCCAGGGAACTTTCCAGAAACAGGAGATACAGATCAGATCAGCAGTTCCATCAGTGGCCTTGGTGCAGCTGTGGAGGGTCACTTTCCCCAGCATAAGAAGACAAAGAGAGAGAGAGTTTTTTTTAAAAAAGGATTATCTTATTTAAGTGAAAAACATTGCTATCTGAAGATATCAGGAGATGAGGTGGCAATTCCCTTGCAGGAGTCCATTAAATGCAGTGGGAGGTGGCAGTTTTGGGTTGCCTGCCTTGGTATAAAAGGACTGCTGCGTTTTTGTTTCACAACTGCCGCTTCGCCTTCCGTGGGACAGCCCTGCTTGAGGTGAGATCTCCGTTTTCTTGCTAAAGTCCCCTCTGTGTAGTTCTTACACAAAGCCACACTTTATTTCTCCAGTGAGAATTAGAATAGAATTAGAATAGAATAGAATAGAATAGAATAGAATAGAATAGAATAGAATAGAATAGAATAGAATAGAATAGAATAGAATAGAATATGTGGAATGGAATGGAATGGAATGGAATTGGAATAGAATAGAATAGAAGAGAAGAGAAGAGAAGAGAAGAGAAGAGAAGAGAAGAGAAGAGAAGAGAAGAGAAGAGAAGAGAAGAGAGGAGAGGAGAGGAGAGGAGAGGAGAGGAGAAGAGAGGAGAGGAGAAGAGAAGAGAAGAGAATATACTGTAGAATATAGAATAGAATAGAATAGAATATAGAATAAATATAGAATAGAATATAAAATATGAAATATAGAATAGAATAGAATAGAATAGAATAGAATAGAATAGAATAGAATAGAATATGTGGAATGGAATGGAATTGGAAGAGAAGAGAAGAGAAAAGAGACTAGAAGAGAATATAGAATAGAATAGAATAGAATATAGAATAAATATAGAATAAAATATAAAATATAAAATATAAAATATAAAATATAAAATATAAAATATAAAATATAAAATATAAAATATAAAATATAAAATATAAAATATAAAATATAAAATATAAAATATAAAATATAAAATATA